AAAATTTGATCACGATTTAAATACAGTATTTACTTTTAATATTACCGATATGTCATCGAAAAGAAAACGTGTTATATTATCATTAAAAGACAAATTAAAGTATTTGTTTCGATTATCCGGATTTTTCCTTATCCGGACTACCTTCATCCCCAATTAGTCCGGATAATCGAGGTTCTACTGTATTTCTGACCCAGTGACAATTTATAATTGAAACATCAGTTTTAATCTAAAAAAATGTTTTATTCAACTCCAGCTAAATAATTTTTTTTGTATGGAAAAATATTGATATTCCTTTAAACAGTTCAGAGGTATGTCAGTTTTGTAAAACTAGTAGTTATTCATTACATTTACTTTTTCATTGTACAGTATTAAATTTTCACATATTAGAACAAATTTAATAATAATCTTATGTTTGTTATTTATAAAAATGATTTTGTTAAAAATGTATTGACTCTCATGTTATTTTCATTTTATGATTTGTTTAACAAAATTTTAAGTAATGTATTCTCCCCCATTCCAGGGAGTTCTAACCCTTAAGGAATTAATAAATTGAATTGAATTGAATTATTACATTGTTATTCATAGTAAATAAGGCAATATATATGATTTAATATGATTTAACTTTTTTAAATTTTTTTTTCTTAGTGTCTGCATTTTTATGAAATATGAAAAATTTTTTAAAAATTATTTTATTTCATTTTTTACATAGAACTTAAATCAAAAACACGTGTTTTTGAATAATTTAAGCAGCCATAAATCAAAAATAAATGTTACATAAATTATACAGTTAAAGAACTAAAAATAAGGATGAAGTAATGATAATTGAATTTATGAATAAACATTACTCAAATATTATGTAATTGAAAAATTTATTGTTGCTTTAAATATTTTTATAAAAATATTGTCTATCTTTAGAAACAAAATTAAGTCTATTTAAAAGTGGAAATCAATTGTAAAAAAGCATTTTTTTTTAATCTTATAAATATAAAATTTCATTATTCTATTAATTTTTTTTATTCAGGAAAGAGTTAATGTAACATTCCAACATTTCATATTATTTAGATTCATGTACTGAGTCTTAATTTTTAATACATTTCTATAAAAATAATTATTTATAAACAAACTCAACTAAAAAAAATATTTAAAATCATGTTTACCATAAGAAATAAGTGATGGATCCACTCCAACTCTGCCACCACAAGGTAAAACCTGCAAAATAATTATATTTTATGTCTCAACGTAAAATAATGATGTAATATTATAAACTGGATAACTGTATATTCACTAAACTAACATTCCAGCAGGAAAACTTAATCATAGATGTTTTTGACCTCCTTTAAAGGCCATCTTCAGCCACATAAAATTGAATTACTGAAGTGCTTAACAGCTTTCAATAAAACACATTACAAAATTTGAAACATTTCAAATTTTGAAACATTTCAAATTTTGTAATTTGAAATGTTTCAAGTCAAAAGTTAAAACATTTCAGGAAGTTTCTATAAAAGTCTTTCTGCTGGAATTTTATGATTTAGTGTTCTAGTGAGTAAAATGATGATTGCCTCAATATTACTACTATATCAATTAATGGAATAGAAGTAAAGAAATATTAATTTTCTAAATAAAATATTTTATTTCAATTATTAAAACTTTGATAAAAATTTTGCATATTTTTATCATAAAATCTAAAAACAAAAATGATGAAATTTTTCACAATGAAAGATCATACAGCAGAGCATCGATTATCCGAAAGTCAATTATCCGAAAGAATCCCAGTCGGCAAATTTAAATTTTCGCCAGTGCTGTGGCACTGCAATCTTTGGCTATGTCTTGGGCTACTCAAATATTTTACGTTTTTGATACTAAATTAACTTCTGAAGTATAATTTTTTATTGTTTTTATATTTTTCAATATATTTATTTTGTTTGTACAAAATAAAAATTAAAAATTTTAACGATACAATACTCTTCATTTGGCTTAACATCGACAAAAATTCAATGCGAAGCGACACACAATGGAGAAAAATTTCAACAGGGGATAAATTAATATATTTTTTTGTACATAATCGGTTATCCAAAATATCGATTTTCCAAACAGCCCAGTCCCCAATTGATTCAGATAATCGACGATCTACTGTATATTTTTAAAAATGGATATGAATTCCAAAAATATAAAAGCAAATATTTTTAATAATTTATTAAATAATTTAGAATCATCTGGAAGAAAAGATCTGGTTTGAGACAGAGCTAGCACCCACAACTGCCACTTGCCATGTGGTGTGCTTGCCAGTTGTGCCACCTGGATCCCAAGCAAGTCTTTGCTTCCATATGTATTTAAATTTAGAAATTTAGATATAACCTTATACGGTTAATCCGGTCACCCTAGAGGACTGACTGGGGGATGACTCCTACATCAATGGCCTAAGTATGAACTCCCACAATGGCACTCAGCCAGCTAACATTTTACCCAGCAAGGTGTATTATATATAAGTATATCAAACATCATAAAGCTTGCTGAGTGCCATTGTGGAGTTGTACTTAGGCTCTGGGTGTAGGAGTCATCCCCAGCCAGCACTGAGATGAACTGTGTAAGGTTATATCTAAATTTAAATACATCTGGAAGTGAAGGCTTGCTCAGGATCCAGGTGGCACAACTTGCAAGCATACTGCATAGCAAGTGGAGGTTGTGAGTTTTTCCTTATCCGGACTACCTTCATCCCCAATTAGTCCGGATAATCGAGGTTCTACTGTATTTCTGACCCAGTGACAATTTATAATTGAAACATCAGTTTTAATCTAAAAAAATGTTTTATTCAACTCCAGCTAAATAATTTTTTTTGTATGGAAAAATATTGATATTCCTTTAAACAGTTCAGAGGTATGTCAGTTTTGTAAAACTAGTAGTTATTCATTACATTTACTTTTTCATTGTACAGTATTAAATTTTCACATATTAGAACAAATTTAATAATAATCTTATGTTTGTTATTTATAAAAATGATTTTGTTAAAAATGTATTGACTCTCATGTTATTTTCATTTTATGATTTGTTTAACAAAATTTTAAGTAATGTATTCTCCCCCATTCCAGGGAGTTCTAACCCTTAAGGAATTAATAAATTGAATTGAATTGAATTATTACATTGTTATTCATAGTAAATAAGGCAATATATATGATTTAATATGATTTAACTTTTTTAAATTTTTGTTTTTTAAATTTTTTTAAAAAAAAAAAAAAAATATATATGATTTAATATGATTTAACTTTTTTAAATTTTTTTTTCTTAGTGTCTGCATTTTTATGAAATATGAAAAATTTTTTAAAAATTATTTTATTTCATTTTTTACATAGAACTTAAATCAAAAACACGTGTTTTTGAATAATTTAAGCAGCCATAAATCAAAAATAAATGTTACATAAATTATACAGTTAAAGAACTAAAAATAAGGATGAAGTAATGATAATTGAATTTATGAATAAACATTACTCAAATATTATGTAATTGAAAAATTTATTGTTGCTTTAAATATTTTTATAAAAATATTGTCTATCTTTAGAAACAAAATTAAGTCTATTTAAAAGTGGAAATCAATTGTAAAAAAGCATTTTTTTTAATCTTATAAATATAAAATTTCATTATTCTATTAATTTTTTTTATTCAGGAAAGAGTTAATGTAACATTCCAACATTTCATATTATTTAGATTCATGTACTGAGTCTTAATTTTTAATACATTTCTATAAAAATAATTATTTATAAACAAACTCAACTAAAAAAATATTTAAAATCATGTTTACCATAAGAAATAAGTGATGGATCCACTCCAACTCTGCCACCACAAGGTAAAACCTGCAAAATAATTATATTTTATGTCTCAACGTAAAATAATGATGTAATATTATAAACTGGATAACTGTATATTCACTAAACTAACATTCCAGCAGGAAAACTTAATCATAGATGTTTTTGACCTCCTTTAAAGGCCATCTTCAGCCACATAAAATTGAATTACTGAAGTGCTTAACAGCTTTCANTAAAAATTATAATTATTAATTTAGTTAAGAGATGGCACCTAATGTCTACCTCTAGTAGCAAATTACTTAGTATTAATCATTAAATTAGTGGAGATATAGCCTGATTATTTAAGTCAATTGTTTGGTTATGTTTTGATAATATTCAAATTGAACAGAAAAACCAATTTAAATCTTATTTAGTATATCTGTATTAAATATAATTAATAATTACTAACAGTTTACGTAAATATATCTCTAAAACTTGCTGCACTGAAAAGCACTCCTTGATGAGTAGAGTATTGGCAAGCATAACGGCCTCAAACTAAGGTACGGAGGAATAGTGAGCAATTCTTTTCTTTACCTCAGTTTGAGGCCATTATGCTTGCCAATACTCTACTCATCAAGAAGTGCTTTTCAGCACAGCAAGTTTTAGAGATACATGAGGCTTTCCTTTTTGTTACCAAGCATAATTACTTTCAGTTCAATGGGAAAATTACATAAATATATAAAAGAAAACAAGATTTATCATATATTTTTCGTTATTATATAATACTGTGCAAATTAGTTGGGACAATAAGAAAATACATTAACAAAGACAACTAAAATATTTATTTGTTTAACAGTTAGTAAATAGTGAATGTGACCCCCTTAGCTTTAATTAATTCTTTCAACTTCTCAACCATTAATATCACTAGCTTTCCACATATCTACTTCACTTCAGGGTCATGCTATCACAGTTTCATGACACTTTCTATCATTTTGGTTTTTGTCATACAATCCATCTTAGATATGTGCATATTAATAATGACCCAAAAATTTCTAATGGCATTTAGATCAAGTGAATTTCCTGGACACTCCAATACCTTCAAATGTTGCTGGGTAAAAAAGCTCTTAGTAAGTTAGAATTGTGACATGGAGCCAGATCCTGTTGAAATACCCTATTGCTGTTAGGAAACAGCTTTTGAACTATAGATCTTTTTGCCTACAGAACATCTGTGTACTTTTTGCTGTCTTCAATGGAGTGAAGCATCTGTAGTCCAGAAGCTATGAAACATCTCCATAACAAGGTGGGTGTTTGGAGATTGATGGATCTGGCCTGATCAAAAATGTTCTACAGGAGAGTAGCATATTAAATCTGACCCATAGTCATGCACCTTAATTAAAGAAGGTTTTGTTGGAAAATATCACTTTTTCTCAATTCTACACAGTCCAGTCTTGATATTTCTTTGCTTAGGATGGCATTTCTTGCTTCATAGTGGGCATCAAAGGCTGCTTTTTTGAGGGACATTGAGCTTGGTGGACACACTCCAGAAGGTGACATATGATAGAAGCATCTACATTAACTCCATGAGATGCAATCTCCCTTTTGATGTCTCCACTTGTCTTCTTCGTGTCTACGATAGTAATTCTTAGCATTAGACTCTCATCTCTAGGGTGATTTTTCTTTTTCTTTCACAATGTCTTTTACAGGACATGTCCACAGACCTTGACTCCTTATGCAACTTCGTGATCCATGAAACACTGGATTGCTCAACCCAACTGTTTTTGCTTTCTGCCTAGCAGTAAATGAAGTGTTTTTGCCTAAAGCAATTATTTTAGCTTGTTTACGAGGTGTGATATCTATGATGTATTTAATAAAGTTTCCAATGAAAATTGTGAACTATGTAATCATGTCTTCAGCCTATAAAATTCTGACTAAAAGTGGAAGTGTAAATAATAGTAAAGTAACACAACAGACAGTTCTAGACTTGCAGATATCACTCTGCTGCAAGTCTAAGTCCATTAAAAGGCTTGGTCTTAGCATTCCTTCTCTTGTCCCAACTGATTCGCACAATATCGTAGTTTGTTTCATAAATGAATGGTACCATATCAAAACAAACCTTCTCACTGTCTTCATATCATTCTGCTATGAACTCTGATTTGTTGGCTCACTTTGGCCACATGCACTTATGCATGGAAACTGGCAATGTGCCAATGATTATATGAAGTCATTTGTATCACAGTGCAGTTTATCTGTAATGGTAAATGATAAATATAATGCTAAACAATTGTTACAATTGAAAGTTTTTTAGAAGAAATGAATTAATCTATAACATGACAACAGTCCAGTTTGTGCATGCATGAGAATTCTATCCATTTTCCATTTCATTTAAGAAATTGTATGTGTTTTTATTGTCTAATGTCTAAAAATATATTGTGATGTGCTGTACAAATAACTTTTAAACAGCAAAATTGGTGGAACTCTTTCCTTTAGCAAACAGAGGTGAATAGCCAAAAAGAAATTTTCAGAATGATGTCATATTTTGACAAGGTGCATTGTTTTGTGAAACAGAATATAGAATGTTTTATAATATCATATCAAATGTTAAGCATGCCTAATGTAACATTTTTTTTTCTTCTTAATGGCTTAATTTTAAAAAGAATTCAACTTCTAAAATCAATTTTAATCCAAAACTTGAATAAAGATTTGTTTAAAATTGATTCAAGCATTATAAGAAAATTTTTTGGTTTATCTTTATACACCAAAACATTTATTTCAATGCAATATAAAATAATTCAAATACAGACATGTTAAGCTAGGTACAGTAGAGCGTCACTTATCCGAATCAATTGGGGACTGGGGTTGTTTGGATAACTTATTTTTCAGATGACCGATTATGTATGAAAAAATATATTAACTTATCCCATGTTGAAGTTTTTCTCCGTTGTGTGTCGCTTTGCATTGAATTTTCGTCTATGTTAAGCCTAATGTAAACTTTTTAAAATAATAATCGTGGCCATTGTAGCATTACAAATTTCTTCTTTATTTTTTACAAACAAAATAAATATATTGAAAAATATAAAAACAAAAAAAATTATACTTTAGAAGTTAATCTAGTATCAAAAATGTTTGATTCCACATGACACACAGTCCTCAGAAAAACACCACACAAAAGTGCCAGTGCTGCCAGCTAAAACACACACATCAACAAAAAATATTGGAGTAGCCCAAGATATAGCCAAAGATTGCAGTGCCACAGCACTAACGAAAATTTCATTTGCCGACTGGAATTCTTTCGGATAAACGACGCTTTACTGTATTATACAATTTAGGCTGCACAATAGGATAAAAATTTAAAAATTATGACAAGTATAGAAATTGCAACCTTTTTTACTCTTTCTTTATGTAACACTTTAAGCTAACAGTAATTTTTTCATTTATACAATTTTGATGTAGGTGACACTTGTGACACTTACCCTGAAGTTGAAAACCAATGTAATTAAGATTCATTCTAATATGATCCTACTGAATAATAATATACTTTTCAATGTAACAGGTAAGTCCATAGTAATGAGTAATCATGATAAAACTGACTTTCATTATAACAGAGCAATTTGTTTGGTACCATAATTGCTTGGTCTATTATATTAAGCATTTACTGTAGTAGTAATAGTGGAAACACAATGTTGAAAATTATAAAATAAGAGATATATTCATTCAAGATTTTAATAATTTGACAAATAAATTGTATATCATATATATATATTGATATATTTAATATTAAAAAATATATATTTTAATATTAAATTCTATGTTTTATTTATTTATTTAAAAATTTATCTATGATGTTTGATTTATTAAGTTAACAGAATTTTCTAAAACCATATACTATATTTACTCAAATGTAAGATGACATCACATCTAAGATGCATCTTAATTTCTACACTCTCATCTATAAATTTTTTGTTTTTGAAAAAATAGACAGCCTGAGACACATTTATGTCAATAGAATTGATTCTGTTAACTAAATACTGAACAAATTTATGGTATTACAATAAATTACATCAAATCTCAAATGCAATGTATTTTCAGATATAATATAACCTAAAAAGTGCATCTTACATTCAAGTAAATACAGTATTTATTACTATTCTGACTTACCTTTGCCAGCCATTCTCCTTGGGTAGGAGTTCCAGTTATTCCTGGGAAAAAAAAGAGGATCTTATGTAAACAGCAATTTATATTTGCATTTATTAGCAATTTAAAAATAATGACTTCAAATTAAATTTATATTATTATTAATGTTTTTAAATCTAATTAATGGTTTTTAAATCTAATTATAATTTTTTAAAATTATAATTAGATTTAAAGTTAAAAGAATAATTAACTACAATATGAATTTATACACAAAACTATTATAAAAAAATTTAAATCAGGTTTTGCATCAAAATGCTAATAATTAAGAAAATAAATCTATTATTCAGTATTATTATTATTTTTTACAATTATGAAAAATTTTTAAGCCATGTAAAATAAATTACAATGGCCCTTGATTTATGATATCTATTTAAATATTTACTGGTTTGTATTTATTTTCTAGTAATTGCCATATCTTTTTTTCCAAAATTTTAGAAACTTCTATATGTACTTCTGCTATCCTGAAAGCAAGTCTAATGCTTTATGTATTCATGGCAAAAGCAATCTTTGGGTATATAGTAAACACACATTCTCTATACAACACAGTAGAATTACATGATATAGAGTTTACATGATGTGTTTGTTTAATGGTAAATTTATTTTTAAAAAATTTGTGATAGTTAATTATAAAAATTGATTTAAAGCTATGCTTAGAGATGTAACTGATATCTATCTGGTACACTGGCATATCAGAACTGGTTTGTTTTATAAACTAATACATCACTTTTTTTTTAATATATGCATTCTTCTCATTGTTTTGCTATGGCAGGTAATTGGAATAAGGCAATGGACATGTTATGTTGAAAAACGAACCCACGATAGTGCGTTCTCTTGGCACCTGATTTGCTACTAATGACCAAGTGACACACAGTTGTTGTTACTTTTTAAGGGTACAAATTTGGTAGGGAGCATAAAATATCACCAGATTTGGTAATGTTTCAAGCGAGTTAGTGATTTAGCAAAAATTTTTTGCAATCTGGTGATTTTTCCATAGTATTATAAATTTATCAAGGTGTGTTTAAATTTTTTCCCAAAACACAGGGCTAAAGTCAAGTCTAACTTATAACTTAGACAAACTAAATAATTACAATTACCTATAATCTGAAAGTGCCTGTAAATTGACTTGTGAATTTTTATTTCTTGATATTTGAATTTAAAATGGTTAACAACATGAATATTATGTAAACCAATGAGTTTTCAGGCTTTCATTTATTCCCAACACATGAACAGTTTAGACAGAAGTGAGTATTGAATTAATGAAAAATTATCACTATGGATCTTATTGGCAGAATTCAGTATTGTATAATCTCTAGTTGTGCTATATTGCAACAGTTTATAAATTTGTACTTTAAAACAAAAACTAAAAGTAGAATCATGTCTAATTGTAAGAGTGATAGTGCAACTTCCAATAAAACTGTAGTTAAAAGACTATGTAAATCTATACCATTAAAAGAGATGAAGTTATTAGAAAAATGTAGGATGAACAATAACATCTCAGTATTTGTAACATAATCCTTCCATTGGAATAGCAAATCATGAAAAATGCTAATAAAGTTAGAGAAATAACTGAAACTTTGAGAAAAAAATTGTTACAATTCTTAGACATTGTCTTGTAATTGGAATTGTGCATATATATTTATATTTCATTACAGAATAAATGTAATGTAAACTTATATAACAAACGAACTGGATAAATATACTACTAATAAAACACACCTTTAATAATCCAGCTAATAAAAATTAATAATGTAAAAATGTTTTCGATCGTTTCTTAACGATCTTCTTCAGTTACCATAACATAGAATAAAATCGAACACAAAAAAAGAACGTAAATACAAAATTAAAATATAAATAACAGAAAAGTAGCTGTGTTGATAAAATAAACAAAAAATATTAATTAATCCGAAAAAATGTCCCTTAACAAAAATAAATAAATAAAGTCATTAATTCTTGTAAAAGGATTGCCATGCGGTAGGTAAAGAGTCCGCATCTCTATAGTTGATGCAACCAGTTTTCTTGTGTGCCTTAAAGATCTCTAATTTCTCCAGATATTTCATTGTATGTAAATTTGTCGTGGGTTTAATTATTTCCACCCGATTCCAATGGACTTGAATGTCTTGTTGTGTTGTGTTCCGTAACACGATAGCACGGTGTTGTCAAGTTTCTTATTACTCGTATATTTATGCTCTTTGATATGTTGTTGCAAGTTGCGCATTGTTGCGCCTACGTAGACAAGATCCAAATTAAAACGCAGTTCATGTAATGGTATAGAATAGATCCCTGATGCCGATTTCCAGTCATAACGCTTCTTATCATTTCTTAATAGCTTGAAAACTGTAGGATTGTGTCGATATACTACACTGAAATCATTAGCCTTGGTCGTTTCTTTATGAACGGGACATAATTTAAAACCATCTTTTGTCTATGGTCTACTGTGGGATGCCGTTGTTTAGATGTTTGGAAGGTTGTAATAAGATTCTTTATGATTTCCTTTTGGTATCCTTGTTGTTCTGCAATCTTTAGAATGTAGTTTAGCTCTGCCATCATGTCTTTTATACTAGAACAATGTGTATAAGCCCTTTTTATCCAGGACCTAAAGGCCGCCAATTTGATGTGATGTGTATCGATTGAATTATGCGGAATTAAAGTGGGTTGAAAGCATGGTTTTCTTATATGCTGGTCCTGATTTCTCCCTGTCCGCAAGCGATGGAAATGTCCAAAAAATTTACAATACTAATCACTCTCCTGGTCCACTTGTAGTAACAAACCGTAAGGGTTATTATTGATCATATCCAAAAATTGCTGTAGCTTAGGTTTTCGTTGCCACAAGATGAATATATCGTCGACGTATCTGGCATACAAAACGATAAGGTGTTGAAATTCGGGTAGAATTTTGTTTTCGAGTTGCCATAAGACTAACTCACATAGAATTGCCGATGTGGTACTACCCATCGGTATGCCTCTTCCCTGCAAATATAACTCGCTCTCAAACTCAAAAAAAGATGTATAACACACTAGGTGTGAAAGTTCTAGTATTTGATTGTGATGTTGTGTCGCATTTTCAACATTGGCAAATAAAAAATCTCTTAATGCGCATAAGCAAGGAGATAATTTCATCGATGGATACATCGAATTAAAGTCGATGTATCCATCGATGAAATTATCTCCTTGCTTCAAGACTGTCATATATTCATCGTCCATAAGAGAAATGTTTTTGAGATCTTCTATTAGTTGTAGAGAGTTGTTAATCGAGAGTGGATGGCAATGAGCTTTAGATTGGAAGAATTTGACCAGTTGTTTTTCGATTAAGAAAGTTGGAGAGTTACATTTCTCTATTACAGGGTGTATTTGGTATCCCGGTTTGTGTGTTTTGGCAAAAGCAAATATTCTCGGTGCTCTTGGCACACGGACGGTGGAGTTTTGCACATGTAAGAGTACTTTTCCGTTATTTATACTTTAATTTCGTATTTACGTTCTTTTTTGTGTTCGATTTTATTCTATGTTATGGTAACTGAAGAAGATCATTAAGAAACGATCGAAAACGTTTTTACATTATTAATTTTTATTAGCTGGATTATTAAAGGTGTGTTTTATTAGTAGTATGTAATGTAAAGCCACATATACATGTTTAAAGTAACACATAAAATAATATAAAAATTTTGTATGAAAAACAATCAATTTTTGTTTATCAGGAACACATCCTATTAAAAAACACCTTACACATATGTAAACAATCCATAAACCCAATTTTTAAGTAATGCCAAACAATCTGCCATATTATAGCCCAATAATATAGCAGAGAAATTAGTTAAAAATCAGGTTTTTTGGATTGTTTGTGTATATAAAATACTACCATGTTGAGGTGGATGTGGTAATTGGCTGAGAACTATGGAAAATACTTGCATGTGATAGTTGGAGGGCTATGGATGCTAAAGTCATCCCCAGTATGTGCTGTAAGTGATCAGTATGGTTATATCTAAATTAATAGCTCTGGAAGCAATGATCAAACAGAGGTCTGGGTAGTGTAATTGGCAATGTATTTGCTTAGTATGCTATGCAGGTTAAAGTTCCATCCTGGGCCAAATTTTTTTTCTTCTAGAAATTCTAAATTAGAGTTAGAGTTCATTTATTACAATTATTAAAATTTTCATGAGATGCCAGCCTATATGCTATGCAGGTTAAAGTTCCATCCTGGGCCAAATTTTTTTTCTTCTAGAAATTCTAAATTAGAGTTAGAGTTCATTTCTTACAATTATTAAAATTTTCAGATTTTAACAAATTCAAATACAGCAAATTCATTAGTCTGTGTGAAGTCAAGTGCCTTGTAAGAGTTTTCATTTAACAATGTGATTTCACTTTACTCCCACATCTGTTCAGCATATGTTTCAGAGTTATGTATGAAAAATAAATTTTCTCACGCTAGTCTGTTTTCAAAATTGACAACTCACTCGTTATATCCAGGTATAAATTGATATGTATACCGCAGGTATAGACATTAGTTTACACCTGCTTACATGTATACAAAATATATCTCAAAATGAATTTCGGGACCCGCTTGTTTTTCTTTATTTGCTTTTTTTATTACAAAATGTATATATGAATTAAACTATATATCATTATTTATAGTATACTTTATATAAAAATATTCATTAATTTATTTAAGATATTACAATATTATCTTTTCTTCGCAATTTTCACTATCTAATATAATTTAAACCGTAGATTTAAATTTTAACAATTCAGTGTCTAACTTTCTTTTGCTCTGTTTTTATACTTCGTTTTTTATACTACTTACAAGGTATAATTTTAATAAGGTTTTACTACTCACATTTGTTTAATTTCTTTAATTAGATGACCGATAGCACATCCTAAATAANCTGTGTAAACAATGACTCATCGGTGTTAAATTTCACAGAAAGGAGAGACAAAGGAAAATAAAATTTGAAGCTTTTTCTTCAAAATTAACACATTTCTTTCGTTTTTTTCAGTTTTAAGTATTTTTTATGCTTAATTACATCATAATTAAAATCAGTCGGGCGTTAAGGGGTAAATTAATCTTTATTATATAAACATATAAGACATATACACCCTTTAAACCAGTATTAAATGCATTTCAGTCTAAACATTTTTGGCCCTCTTCAGTTAGAATTTTTAATCTACAATTTAAAAAAAGAAAGCTGTATAACAAGACTCATACTACAAGACATTTACCAACTTATATTTATTATACACATGAAAAATGTTTATAATAATTTTATCACAACATTAAGATTTGCTATTTGCTGTTAATATTGTCCAATAAAATTTGAAGAATATTGCTTGTAAACAATTCTAAACACAAATGCATAAAAAAACAACTTCTGAATAAAGTTCTATCTTTAAAAAAAAAGTTCCTGATTACAGAAATAATTTTAGAAATTACAGTAAAACTATAATAGACAGTTTGTTGCACATTTTTATAATAAAAATTGTTTAGAGTTAACATTTTTTTATTTTGTAACTTTAATTCAATACTATTGCCATAATTTACCACCATAATAATAAGAATAACCTAAATGGTAAATACAGTAGAGTGTCGTTTATCTGAAAGCCAATCAATCAAAACATCGGTTAACCGAAAGCATTCCAGTTGGACTGTCATGCTGAATCGAATGTTTTTGATACTAGATTAAGTTCCAAAATATAATTTTTTGTTTTTATATTTTTCAATATATTTATTTTGTTTGTACAAAATAAGAAATAAGTTTTAACGATGCAATAGCCATGTTTATTATTTTTAAAAATTTACATTAGGCTTAACATCGACAAAAATTCAATGTGAAGCGACATGCAACAGAGAAAAATTTCAACATGGGATAGGTTAATATATTTTTTCATACATAATCAGTTATCTGAACAACCCCTGCCCTGCCTTTGCTTTACTTATTTAAGTGTCTTTTTTTTTCTGTCCTTCCAAAATTTGGCAACTCTAGTCTTGTGCAGTGCCTGCTGACATATAACCATCATGAAAAACAATGTGTTGATGTATAGTCTTGTTGGGCTGCAATTTGAAAAATTGTAGACCTATAAATTCACATCATTGTCTGTCCTTCCTTAATCTCAAGAATGAAGTTAGATAGATGAAAGCCGAAACAGATATGGAAAGCTTAGAGGCAAGAGGTCCCAATTAACTATATACAAACTTCCAATGCAAACTGGCAGTCATGTTATTTCAGTTCAAAAATGTTCCCCTGAAAGGAGTTAGATAGATGACTAGTATGACTATTTCTAGCATGAAAAGTATGATTTACAGGGTAAGGCACTTTTAATTTGAGGTGGAGAGAATATATTTTAAATTAAATAAATTTAAAATATACAGTGGGTGATCGGTTAACGAACAGATCAATTAATGAACAAATTGGATAATGAACACTTCACTGAACAAACGTAAAAAGAAGTGATGTAAAATAACAAATACCGATTGATTTTCCCTTGTCTTCAGGCAACAATTCACATTCACAAATCCCAGGAAGGCTTGGAGTTTTCCGTTTATCACAAGTTTGGCAATATCTCACCCATAATACCGGCCACAGCATGTCAACCACAGCAATATGTTAATGCGGCCATAGCTCCCTTGATCAGACGGGCATTCTTACTACCATCGACACATCTTATCAATACTGAACCGGAGGCTGTCCGCACAGCGGTGTATGCGGTGGGATTTAGTTCCTCCAAATACATCCATATTAAAAATAGAGTTATACAGTCTCTCTTCCCTGCCACCACATTGCGCAGACCAAGGGATTGGACAACACTCCATCCCTCACTCCCATACTATGGACACTTCACGGCCTGGATCTGCCGGATCTTTAGGCAGAATGGTTTTCGCTTACCTATTGCCCTACGACCATGTCTGTGACGAATCTTGTGTAATGATAGAGATGTTATTTCCACCCTGGAAAAATCTGGTGTATACTCCATTCCCCTGCAAAATCCAATATCAGGACTATGCACCAATTATATAGGAGCGACTACCAGAATGCTGGCTGCTCGCGTATCTGAACACCAACATTCGGTGGCACTTGGCAATTGCGACACGGAACTTTCCAAATTGGTGATACAACACCACCACATAGCGCTTTGGAATCGAGTGGCAATACTCAAACGTTGTGATGAAGGGAGCTTGATATATATTTGGGAGGCCATCTTCACAAAACTGCTCTCCCTGTGCAACTCCCCTACCCTCGACTTACCGGATGTCTGGATTAATTTATACAGGCATTTAAAAAAAATCAACAATAATTCTACACTCTTTTCCTGCACCTCCTATATGAAATCAAGGTGCATATGTGTTGGCTTCTTTATGTGCGTCTTATTTTTTATATGTTACACGTGTTTTATGTATTTTAAATTATGTCCACGCTTTTATATTTAAAATTTTATTGTAAACTTGACCTTATGGCTCTATTCTGATCAGCTTCTATGCTGTCTATGTTAAGGCGCATGTGTGCCAAAATTTTATACACATTTACAAAATGTTTTTAATTTAAAGTCTAAAATTTACTTGTTCTTAATAGCCATTCCAATTGGCTTTTATGTTATGCATGTTAAGATGCACGCGCGCCAATTTTTCGCATTTACAAAATAATTAATAGCAATTCCAATCGATGTTTATTTTTTTAAACGCATGCACGCCAATTTTAAGTGTTTTTAATTCTAAAATTTAAATCTTATTTGTAATAGTTATATTCCAAAAACGGCTAATATCGTTAATGTTTAAATTTAAATCTTCTGTTTGAATTCTCTATTTGATTTTGAATTGCCTGAAGACGATGTACATATTTACGTTGAAAGCGCTTGCAAGATTAAAATATTTCTTTTAATTCTATTTAATGCCTCATAATCTGAAGTTTTTGATTAAGTTTTTGATTGAGTTAACTGTTGGCGTGACATCCGAGCCAAGTATTTAATACACCTAAGAAGAACGCCAAAAACTGTTGAATGAATAACACCAAGAAACTCGGCAAAATACATTTTCTTCTGAAAAACAGGATTAATGCCAATATCTGCTATTAACGATCTTTTGTAGTAGAAGGAGGATGTCAGAATAACGATCTTAGAATGTCATCCAAACCAGGTTCAGAATATAGTAATAAGCATGGAGATCTCTAAATTACAATGATATTAATTACTTCCGAAAAATCCTGAAGAAGAGAAAAAAGCAATCAACATTGGACAGATTCTTGAACCAGGCATTGTAACGTTATAACGATAATTTTTGCTCGTTATATAAACAAAATTTGCAGTCATTCTCTCAATTTTTCACACTTTAACTGGACTATTTTTTGGAGTCTTCAGAACGAATTAATCAAATTCCCATAAAAACCCATGGAAAATTGATAATCGGTTAACAAACAATTTGGATAATGAACAAAGTCTAGGAACGGATTATGTTCGTTAACTGATCACCCACTGTAACTGATTAAAAATTGCAGCCAGGCATTGTAATTATGTCACAATAAATTGCTTCTTTAACTTAGTAATGCCTGAAAATTAATATTCTTCAAAAAACTACCTTATATTTAATTCAGTACATTAAAAAATTACCATATTTTCAAGAAGTGATCACAGTTTTTAAGTTAAGTTTTCATTTTAAATATGATTCAAAAAGACATTAAAACAAATATAATAATCTCCAAGTTGTTTGTTTATTATTTTAAACTAATTGAATAATATATTGTGTAATTAACTGGCATATTCACTTAACTGGCATATTCTTTTAAATTAACATATTAACCAAAATATATTTTGAAAAGAAATAATTTGAAATACATCATTTTGTTTCAAAACAAATAAATTTGTCACTACTGCCTTAAATATTTCTTCATCACAGAAAATTATTATAATTAGATTAGTTAACAATTTCAACTTGTATTTAATATTGACAACATACCAGTTTGTTTTTAATGCATTATTTTTTATATTATTAATAATAAAATGTTTTCATATAATAAAGACATAATGAGAATTTATTGTAATAAAAAATTTTAAAATACTAAATATATAATAAAACTTGCATAAACTGGAATTAATGGTACTGAATATTTTTTTCTGGTTTGGCAAGCTTTTTAACATAGAAAATTACTCCGTTCTGAAGTTTTCCCATTTAGACAGATTTTTTTACTGTATTTAGGTATTAAAAAAATAAATCATCAATCAATTACAGTAAGTAATAATCTTACCATCTTTCATTAATAGCCAATTACTATCTAATTCTTTTTCTGCTTGAAGAAAATATCTTCCATCTGTCCATAATGCAGCTTTCTCTTCAGTTATGACAGCCACTCCTAAAAATAGTAAGAATAAAAGTTTCAATTGTTTTAAACTTTTTAATATAAAGTAAAATAGTCAAGTTTAGCTGTAAAAAGGTCTTCAATATATTGATAAATCAAAATTATAATTAACCATCAGAGGAAGTTAAATTTATTCTAAATTAATACTGTTAATTAAGTTCATTAACATTTCAATATTAATTTATTTTGTTTCTCAAAGTTTCTTATTCTTACACTAAATTAATAGCATATTTAACAATTTTCATACCTGCACTCCCACTAAAATTGGAAACATATTCTCTTCGTTTGTCTGGTGCTGCTATATATTCACTCTGAAAATTTTCATAAAAAATTATTTTTGTGGAAATATGATATAAAGTTTTTAGTTTCAAACTGAAGTTTATGAGATAAAAATACATACTTGATGAGCATCACCAGAAGGAACAATATAGGCATGTAATATTTCATTTACGTAACTTGTATTTTTCATAACGGAACGAAGGCGATTTAATATTGCCGTAGTATTTTTGACAGCCATATCAGAGAATCGATATTTTTTTCTAATTTTTGAATCTTGAAAAATATTAGTTATAGTTAATCAAATGCAAAATAAAATTATTCAACTTTCAGTAAAATCTACATATATAAATATTTTTAGACATTAATAATTGTTTATTTACTAAATAAGCTGTAATTAAAATACTGTACTACTTGTAAAACTGGATGCAAAAAATGAACAAACATTTAAAAAACCAGAATATCCTGCAGCAAAACATAACTAAACTAACATTTTTGACTGTCTTAAATCAGTCATCCTCAGGTTTTAAATACATGCAAAAAGAGAATGTAAGTAGACATAAAAGTTTTTTAAAAGAACAGAGCAAATATTTCATTGGATGCAGCCATATTTGTGATGGAAGACATATATACATATCAAAACAAATGAATCAAAGTTTGTGTAATATGGGAAATGTATGACATCCATTAGTATACCTCTAAAAAAGGACTTCCACAAGTGAGATTGTCTTTTGTAACCTATGGTTGTTGCCCTTCTAGTTGCTTTGTTTGTACATCCCTAATTTTTCAAGATATTTAACACTATATGCTCATTAAACCTTCAACTCAAATGAACATACGACTTCTATTAAAATGGTTCTTCCAACCACTGCACTAGCACCCTTCACCACAGAGGATGACATCCTTAAAAAATCTCAAATTTTACATCCAACTTAGGAGAGAGCCCATCTTAAACTAACGTATTCACCATATTACTGATTCATTACTGATTTACATATTATTGAACAAACTGATTCATTTGTTTTGGTACATATATGTCATCCAATGAAATATATTTTGTTCTAATTATGCTTTTCTTTCAAATGTATTTAAAACCTGAGGATGACTGATTAAGACAGTCAAAAACATTAGTTTAATTATTAAAATATTTTTTGTTACTGGATATTCTGGTATTTTTAGATGTTTAAACAATTATACAATTATTGGGCTGCAATTTGAAAAAATTGTACACTTATAAATTCCCACTGTCATCCATTTGTCTGTCTTTCCTTAATCTTGAGAATGGAGTTAGATAGATGAAAGATGAGACCAGATATTGAAATTTTACAGGTACACAGGAGGCACTGCTTAACTGTATACGAACTTCTGATGCAAACTGGAAGTCGTGTTATTTCAATTCAAAAATTTTCCCTGAAAGATGTTAGATAGATGACCAACATGAATATTGTTAAAGGTCAAGTATGATGTACAGGAGCAAGCCACTACTAATTTGAGGTGGAGAGCATTAAAAATTGTGACCACGTCGCAATAAATAATTGCTCATTAATTATAAAATAGTTAACAAATCTGCTATCTAAATAACAATATCCTTACTTAATATAACATATTTCCTTAATTCTAAGATACATTTCTTTTTACTCATTTTTACTTGTCTGAAATAAAAATGTATCTTGTATTTGTAGTCCAAAACAATTAACCAACAATCATTGTGAGCAGACCATACAATGTGTTATACATCAACAACAGATGTTTTCGGCTGTATCACTCAACAGGCACATCAGTTCAAACTAACTTTGGTGGTGATGAGCATTTAATTTAAACTCCTTTTTAATGTTTAAATGCCTTTAAGATGAGGTTGAGATAAGCATTAAAATGTAAAGCTGTTGAATTTACAGAAGAACATAGAATGAAACATGGAAATGATAAACATGTTAATTAATGCCATTAAATAAGTCAAGTTAAACCTAACATTAATCAACAAAATATCTTAAAAAAATAAAACTTAATTCAAATTTTTTCATTCTACAAAAAAGTCTTAAAATTCAATTTCAAAATCATGATGCATTTTAGAATGAAATATGTTATCAGAAAAACTATGCATATCTATGTTACACTAACTAGTTATAATATTTATAATAAAATATAGTGAATTCATTTATATTTCTACACTTTGTTTTGTAGTTGTTTAATGCTTGCATTTAACAAATCCTAGAGAAATATGTGTATGTTTTACTATAGTTTATTTTGACAAAAAAATTAAATTTAATATGCATTATAATTTTCATTATCATCATTTATATATGAAGCATGTATTTCTGTAGAAATGACAGTATCTATTGATTTGAACAAGATGTATGTCCTGTATGAAATTTGTAAATATTTACACAGGAAAATGATATTCATTGATAAGCAGGGCTGTGGAGTTGCGTAAAAATCTACTGACACCAACTCTGACTTTTCCTTACCATCAGACTCCTACTCCGACCAGGTTGGCAGACTTGTTACCAAAAGAGACCCGGAAATTCTGATGTCATCACGTGACCTCAGAATAAAATATTCAATAAATAGAGTTGTAATAAAGATAGAGCGTAGAAACTTTTTATTCCAAAGCTAAAAGACTTCTCTAAGTAATATATAAATATGTATTTGATAATTTTTACTTTTCCGGCTGTTATATATAACAGAGGAAAGTGTAGCGCTTGGTCAAAAATTGACCCTTTCCAAATTTTTACATTTTTGGACTCAGGACACCTTGAAATTTTGAGATATACAAAAGATTCGAGGGTTTTTTCTATATGTGCGGATGTTAGACTGTGTGGGGGCATAATTTTGTTCACCCTGTTTGAAGCCTAATAATTTCTGCAGTCAGAGTGGTTAGAATTGGAGTCAGACGGTTTAACACAGGAGTTAGTTATTAAGCAGCAGAATGAACTAAATCATGTCCTCATACATATTCTGACATTGTAGGCGAGAATATCTTAACGGGTTTTACTGTACTATTGTAAAATGACAGTTTATTTTGAGGGAAGAGACGTGTTTTATTATTATTTTTTTAAATTTTGAATACTAATAACATGTAACATATTCATTAAGAGATAATGACACAAGACCCCTTTTATGTCTTCACCCTGTCGACCTTTAATTAAGAGACAAAATTTAATAGTATTAATGCCCCTTTATATGCAAGCTACAATGCCATGTTTCGTTTCTTAAACTTTACCCATTGTGAGATGTTTAATATCTCAGAACAGAAAATAAAGAAATTAAACAAATTAGATGCCAACACACACACACACACACACACTCATGCAAATTTTTCCTCTTTTATTGGCTTTTTTTGGGGTTTCGGGAGGTCTCCAAATATGTAGATTTGCAAAAGAAACATGGAAAGTCAAATTTGACACAATTTCAATACTTTTCTGTTGTATATACATAACAAGTTGGGAAGTAAAAAGGAGTCGGAGAATTTTTTGACGACTCCGACTAAAACACCAAAACTCCACGACTCCAACTACACAGCCCTATTGATAAGTTATATTTTTTGTGTGGTCAGCTGGCTTTATATGATATTGTTCCAGTTCAAGTTATTCATTATTCAAGTGATGCTATCGAAAATTTTAAATTTAATATAAAAACAAAATATTTATTCTGATAATTGATATATTAATTAAATGTACTGAAAAATAGGAAAAATACTGTATATAAAATTCACCAAAATACTTCAAAACAATATTTCAGTTATATTTTAAAAAGAAAAAGCAATTATTTTATAAAAAATGTGAATGAATAAATTTTAAATCTATTGTGAGATGCGAACCACCTGTAATTAATTAGAAATTTAATCGAAATAGTAAAAATTTAGACGAAAATACTCTATGATTTTGGTGGGAAAATTATATTTTCTAAAACGAAGGCAACTGGTAAAAGTCATTTCCTTCAATGGAAGTTGAACATCCTTTTTGTTTTCTCTTATCTCCTAAAATTTTAGTCACCCTAAGAATTGTCAACCCCTCAGTAAAATCCCCTTTTTCCTGTTCACATGAAAAATATGAGATGCTGATTGGTGAAAACTTGTGAGAAACAAAGAATTTGGAATCATTCGAGGAGTATGCCACAAAATTCGAGAGGAGGAGGACGTATTCCACATAATCCCCCCCAGGGCCAACGCCCATAACCGATTCCCAAAGTCTCCTAAATGAATTATTAAATTGGTAAATACAGTGAAAAAAAAAAAAAAAGGTTTATTTATGTGCCACTAAAGAACATAAGAAAGAACATTCATCCAGAAACAGATCTCAAGAAGAAGATAAAAAGATACATGATTTGAGGTAGTATGTTTTTAACAGAAATTGTGAACACTCTCTCTCTCGATCAATAGTCTTATTCAAGGATTCAATTTTGTATAATCTAGTTCTTGTTCATTAAATTTTTGTTTTTATTGTTAAAGAAATATCTCTTACGTCGTCTGAATCAAACATATTTCATCATCTCCTTCCAGACTCAATACGTTAATCCATGGGTTATAAATCTGATTAACTGGTGCCATTATCCTGACATTGGATAGAGACTCTGTAGTCTATATCCTGTTTACTTACAACAAGCCTTCCTGGAAAAAGTTTAGTGAGCCAATCTTTCGATTGTGTGCCCATAAGTGACATAGATCAGTTCTATGCCCTTGGCTCCTCACACTATTGATTATAATAACTGTAATGTAAAAATTAACAATATTTATTTTAGCACTTTGTTATATTAATATATTTTTATGTGTGTGCTTGATATTTTGACTTTTACTTGTTTTATTTTTCTTTCATTAGAATTATATTATTAAACAATTAATAAATTTACAATTTAAGATTATAACACTGTTCAGCTATCATGAAAATTATTAATCTTTTAATACATTAAACTATTAACTGCATGCACTGAATGTAATTAGTGCAAATGCAGAACAACTTCAAAATCATGTGGTTTAGGAAAGCAGTAATGTTTGATGAAGTTCAAACTTTTTGAAGAAAACATTCCTGTTTTATTAGTTTTAAAATTATTTTAAGAACTAAAAAATAATTGTGAAAGTATTGTTGAAAAAAAGATTATAAAAAAGAATAAAGTACCAGATTTATCAAATATTATGTATTATTTTTTATCATCATCTCTTTTTCTTGCTCTTGTAATTTCACTATTATATAAAATCTAAATTTTCCTAAACTACTATCTAAAAAACTTTCTGTTTAAATATAAAAATTATTTTTATTCTATACACTATTGACTATTCTTTA